CCCCCGGCCCCGCCCTCCGCCTACACCCAGGCACAAAAGCTCCGAACAGCGCTGTACAATTCAAATAAAAGGTTTCCCGCGAAACCTACTCCACCCTCAAACCACAAGGTGAAAACGCAACCATCCTTTTCGCCTGCCGAAAAGACAAAAAAAGAAAACAAAAACGTTTGCTCCCGGCTGTTGGGCTGATTTCACAGCTCAAATCGTTGCACCCGAACGTACGAGGTGGCCACTTCCATACGGGATTGAGAAGCAAAGCTTTCCGAACCAGAGCAGCAGCACAGCAGCGGCAGGGACATGGCCGGTTCCTCAACCACAGTAACTCCCGGCCCTGCGCTTGCCTTCAGGTCTCGAACAGCAGCTTCGCCCCCGCAAAACACCACAACCAAACACAAACACCTGCCCCCCGCCCTCTTCACTGATGTCAAGGTTATTTGGGTTGAGACTTGTACTGAGAAACACAAGTTTAAAGCGACTTGTTGGCATTAGGAAACAATATACAAACTTTTATTTGAAGAAAAGGTCTCAGGTATGACAATAACTTTGGTCATGTTAAAAGGAGGCCATCCAAGAACGAATAAAAATGAGTGCTTTATAAGCGTGGCCACATACAGTACATCCAGATATTAGCTAAGAGAAGCTAAGGTTACACACATAAATAGGTCTTAGTACCATGCAAGTTCAACGCAATTTCATACATTCATTATAAATTTTCAGTTATTTTCATGCCAAATCACCTTTTGGATAAAAAGGTAAGAAAGAATTAACATCTCAATGTGACCAGAATTGAACAGAAAAAAATAAATCATAAGTAGACACAACATTTTTATTAAAAAGATCTTGAAATTACACCTGTTCAAGAAGTGTTATATCATCTCTGATCTCCTCCAGTGGGAATTAGTAGTGTTTTAGCATTGTTACATATCAAAAAATACAACTCTCTCTTACAACATAGTACTGACATATTCAAAGTACTGTGCCAAATTATAAATAGTAAAGTCAGGTTTCGAAGAATTTCAATAGAAAGCAACTTATGCTCACACAAACATATGCACATAGTATATTTATGTAACAAAAGTTTTATAAAAGGAAACAAATTTACCCCATGCCAGCTTGAATTACTGAAGTGGGATTCAATACCTACTAAGAAGACTGACGGTTCATTTCTTTAAATATATTTATTAGTCTCTGGAAAAAATAAGACAAAAATTTACTTTCACCAGAATACACACCATTCTTCACTGACAATCCGTTTCTCAATCACGACTCACGTAAGTCGGTCCTTATGAAAGTGGCTTTTTTATTTTTTCTTGAAGACCTTGCAATAAAAAAAATTGTCCACTAGACTTTCAATTTCAATCAGCTTCTGCTCAACTGCAGAAGAATCCTACGCATTGCTTCTACCTAGAGTAATCTTCATCATCTCTCGTCTGTAATTGTAGACAGTCACATCTTCCACTGTGACTCAAGGGGCAGCTACAAGTAGAGAAGTGCTTAGATACTCAGTCACTTCAAATACACTTGTTGAAAGCTGCTTCTAGTGCATAATCAAGTTGAAAATCCTTCTACTGATCATAATGGTTTGTCAATAACTGTAACACCTAGAGTGAGGGGGGAAAAAAGACATAAATCTTTAGATAGTATTTAAAAAACAAGAATATGAAAAGAAAGTTTTAATATAATACCTTGCAACTAGTATAACATGCACAGTTGCACCAGCAGAGTTCATATTTTCCCTAATTTCTGACAGAAAGTTGTCTGAATCAGTGCAAAGTTCTGAAAGTTTCTGTGACTTAAAAAAAATCTGCCATTACTCAAGTTTAACTCTCAGTGAAATATATCCTTAACATTCACTTAAAGTAACTCATTTGAGAAACTGCAATTATCAAAGGAAAAGATTCCTGAAACAGCTCTTGTTTTCTAAATATCAAATCCCAAAGAACTTCAGAATTGCATGCCTGTAGACTAAGATACAAATCTCTTGTTAAAAAATGTACTGGTCATACCAGAGTCATCTTTCTGACTCACCACTTACGTGCTAAATCCCTCCTGAGTACAGTTTAATTCTATTTTTTTCCTTGTAGTGAGTAATGGTTTCAAGTCAGGATTCAAAATATACCATCAGATTCTTCATACCCATTCTAGTATCTTAGCTTTTACCTTAGACAGGAGCTTCTCAAATTTCTTGTTCTAGCTGTTATACTGCAAGAAGTCTGTTACAAAAAATTTCTGTACACGTTACCTGCATAGCTCCTTCCTGTGCTCATACAAGATGACACAACTGTCCATTTATCAGTTGTTGGATTATAATATTCCACTGTTGATAAATTACAGGAACCATCGTCTCCTCCAACTACATACAAGAGACCATTTACAGCACAAACACCTGGGAAAAAAAAAAAAGACAGGAAACCAATACTAAAATTAGCAATTACCTTGTTCACCCCATAAAAGCATCGTTTCTGTTCTGTGACATCATGAAAGCAGCAGAAATTTGGGAACATGCAATTTACACCAAGTCACATTACTGCTATTTTAAAGTAATTGTTGCATTTACCTGCATTCCTTCTGCACATGTTCATGTCTGCAACTTGCTTCCATGTACTGGCAACAGGATCAAACACTTCAACACTTTTTCTTACCAAAGGACCATCATGCCCACCTACTGCATACAGTAAATTGTTTAACACACCAACACCTGTGAACATATGAAAATACTCAAAATTAATCAGAGAAGAGTTTGACTGATACAGAGAAGGACCAACAAATATTATGTCCACTAACATAAATCCTTCATCCAGTCAATGTTAGGAACTATTTTAGAAAACATTTGGGTAAGGATGCATTAAAGCAAAAATGCAGCAACTACAGCAAGACGCCAATAAAATGTCTTGTGTGCCCATCTACCATATTGTAGCACACAACGACCAGAGCTGTTCTGCAACAGAAGGTTTAGAAAATTTTGGATGAAAAATGATGTGCAGGAAAATGAGGATTGTTGAAATTTAGGACTAATTAGAAATGACAGTAAATGAGACAAGTGTGCTCAGCTAGCATAACAGAAATCTGACAAGATGATAAAGTGTAAGTGAATTTTTAGAAAGTGAAAACTGTGCTGCTCGGAGGATAAAAGCTGAATGGACAGACATTATACAATAGGGATACTTCTACTAAAGTGTTGGAATACCATGTAAACATATATGTGAAAAAAAGAAGTGAAGAGCTAGAATTGAGCACCTTCCTCCTCCAGGATCTGGAGAACACCAAGTTTCCTTGAACCAAGCTTCAGTTATCAAAATATCCAAAAAGGACATTCAAGGGTCTCTTTTACTCCAAGGGTGTCCTTTATGACAAAAGTTTATCAATCTTTAAGCTTGGAGTGAAGGAATAAATAAAGCTAGTCTATATCTATTTGCTAGTTGGCTTGCACGTATTGGAAAGATAGTAATAGGGGAAGCAGAAAGGAAAGCATGTTTGTTTATTTCTCAGTTTATGATGCACTATTGGAATCCAAACATAATAGATTTCAGAAATGTAGGGGTGGGTTTTTTTGTATTAAAACTTGTGAGTGATGGACCATAAAGACAACTGAAAAAACACTACTATGAAAGTACATTGGGAAAACTAACATGTCACATTTAAGATTATGAAATTCAAAGCTGAAATACAGATTCACAAATACAGTTTTTAAAGGCTTCCATGGAAAGGGCACAGCTTAAAATTTTTAATAAAGGGAAATAGCAAATTGGAATGCAAAAGAGCAGTTAAGTCCTTCAGAGGTGAAGAAAGAAAAAAAAAAAAAGCTGGGTTAAAAAAAAAAAAGAGAGAACCCTGCAACCTTAATAGCCAGATGAAATTATCTTTGAAAACACAGAAATATTGTATGTAAGAGCCATTCCTATACAGGGAGAGAAGTTACTCCTGATGAGATAAGTACATTTTTTTATTAAAAAGATAGATTTTAATTATTAAAGGAAAGGGAAGGAAACGTGGAAGAGCTAATTGGTAGTGAAATTCTGAAAAATAGCTTCTTAATAGGACGCTGTTTTATAAATTGTGCTATCTAATGCTTTATCAGTGATATTCACTACTAACACTTCCCCATATCCTTCCCAGTTAATTTAATTCCTTTTTAATTGCTATTATTTCTAGCTATCATGTCACAGTAGAGTGTGACAGCTTTTCTTTCTCCCAGTCTGATCGCACCTCATTAGACAGGATAATACAACATTCATCTTTTGTAGGATTAAACATACAGAGCTAGAAAGAGGGCCAAGATATTTAGCTTAAATATGTGATGTGATATAAATCCCCCCACCCAGGCTTTCTCTATAGTTACCGATCTTCCTATCCAGTGCATAGTTTTCCCTCTGCCACATGGCTATTTTTTCCTTGATAGCTGCTTATTTTTAATAGTGTCCTCCATTCCTCCTTGGTGCTTCATTTTCCCTTAATCCCACACCCAGTTTCCCAGTCCTACCTTTATTTCTTGCTCCTTCCGTCTGTATCCTCTTGTTGCCGTCTTCTGAGTTCTCCTTTCTTTGTTATTTTTCTTGCCTGCCCAATTTTCAGGACCCTGTCTTACATCTCTCATCCCTCCCAAATGGCCTATATCTGGATCTGAAGTTCCTCATCCCAATATGTTGCTGGAAAGAGATCTGTCCCCGTATTGCTCAACTGAGAAGCAGTTGGTACTAAAGAGGAGTAAAGTGAGGGTGAACCTCTGAAGTTGTTTTTGAATGAAGCTGAAGCAGTAGGAACAGAAGAGACAGGCTTAAGTTCCTTGAGATGACCAGAGATCCAAAGGTTTAACACAGGAACAAAATTCTCTTTAGTTAGCACCCAGAACACCACCAGGACTGATCACCAGTTGAAACAGTGCTGGTGGTTTTGGATATTTGGCCACTACAGCCAAGCTGAATCAATAGTCACGATTTTCACATTACCACCCACTCCTCTCCCACGCACAAGTATCATTTTCCATGAATTTAACAGAGTGGCACAGAAGAATGTTGATTATTTTACTCCGTCATAGGAATCTGAAATAACTCGCTACATTTACTTTTCCTCTCCATTTTTGTTTGTTTGGTTTTTTTTTTAAATCGGGACAAGATAAAAGGCAGCAGAGAGTTGAGTAAACAAACACAGTTGTGAGCACTGGGAGGGAGGAGAGGGGCAGAAAAATCCCAGTAATTAGTGCATCTAAGGCACTAAACTTGAGAGTGGTAGACATAATTCAACGCTTTAAGAAAAATCTGAAAATATCTACCATATAAATAGGCTACAAGCACACCAATAGTTTTCAAAAACAGAGTATTTGAACAAAAGAAAAAAAGTCAACTTGCTGAAATAAAATGTGTGTAAGGGCAGATTGCAAAATGAGGCTTTCTCACAGGCCACCAACACTATTTTTCTTTATAACAATATTTGCAATTTGCATATTTATTTTTATAAATATTTTCCTCAAAATTTGCCAATATTAGACATGAGAATTTAACAGTACCCTTACTGCAACTCTGGCCAGTTTTTTATCCTGAATTTAATTCCAAGATGCACAGACTGAGTAACTAGAAGTTTCACAAGACAACTGTGATTTCTTGAGATAGTATATCATGCTTCCTTCATTAACATCACAGTTTTAGCTTAGAAACACCATCAAAACATTACTTTTAGCAGTAAGAGGCACATCAGCTTGCTGATTTTGTAAGAGTATAAAGGAAGTATCACAAACTATCTTAATTTTAGTAATTACTTTAATACTTTTACATATCTCTTTTGAAATAATTTGGACTTAATTTAAACATTATTATACAGATTAAAAACTCTTCAGAGCTAATAAAGTATAATGGAAAGCAAGATGAAAAGTTGGGATAACTATTAATCATCTATTGAGCATACTAAAAGTCAATCCTTTCTTTTTTTTTTCCTGTAGCAACATCTCTTCCAATTGCAAAGCTCATTAATGCAATCACCAGTAGATAGTTGAAGGGTGTTGCTAAAAAGCACTATTAGGTACTTGGCAAAAAATTGACTTAAACAACTAAAAAATTAAACATAGAAAGAGAGCATCATGCAATTTGACTTGAAACAGTCCATGGGAATGCATCTAGAGAAAAAAACCAACTTCTGCAAGTTGAAAAAACCTGAAATACCAAAAGACAAATAGAGGACAGTGAACAGTAAATGAGATTTGAGCCTACAGTATAAAGAGATAATCAAAATGCTGGAGTCAATTTGGAGCTGTGGAAGCATCATTTCACTAAACAAAAGGGGAATACCACAGGCACTTTTGAAGTCTTTAAAGAGAAATACACATACTCAGAATCACAAGGGAAAAAAAATCCACACAAGAAAAAATAAAGAAGAGATTTTTAAGATTAGAAAGAAATAAATGAGTATACCTTGGCTAAACAATAAGGAAGGATAAGATGTAGTAGCCTATATATATCCGAAGGATGTAAACACCAGGTGATGAGAAGAATTACTGAAGATGAAACAAAGGGTACATAAGTGGAAGTAATAGGATGAAACCAGTAATACAAACTTAAGAATGAACAAGGACAAAACTTCCTGCAGTGAATCAGAATGCAGAACAAGTCCTCCAAAGAGGTGGAAAACTAGTCACAGTTCACATGTAAAATCAACCTGAAAACGCTATTAGAAAACTCAGCACTACACTGGCAGAGAGACATCTTTGAAGAAATGACATCTTGATACTTCAGTATTTAGCTGATATTAAATTATCACAATCCATGCATATTAGTCTACATGTTAAAAACATTAGAAGTTATGGGAAGAGGAGAAATATGAAAAGCATGAAAAAACAAGGAAAGGTATTTACTATTAACAGACTAAAATCTTACTCTGTAGGACAGTTTTGCATCTATAACCTGCAGTGTACCAGCCACACATCAGACTAACACATCCCATTATATTCAGACTTTAGCTTACCTTTTATATTTTTAGACACCTTTTAAGCCCACAAATTTGTTTTGGCTTTGCAAGAATAGTTGATTCTTCTCCACTCACCTGCTCCGCTCCGTCTAGTGCTCATTTCTGCAACATACGTCCACTCATTTGTATTAGCATCATAGCATTCTACTGAACTAAGGCACTGCCGTGACGCCCCATCGTAGCCACCAACAGCATACAGTTTACCTAGAAGGGTAACCAACAGAAACCAAATTTCTAATGCACACAGACTACACTTTTCCAACCTTAATGATTCTATGAAGTCATCGTTCTCTGAATTACCTACTAATCAGTAACTGTCATCAATCAGTTACTGAGTTTCTATTCTGTAAGTAGTTTAAGATAGTACACTATAGTTCTTGTCGTTTTTAGGATATAAAAGGCAGCCCGTACCGAACAAGAATAACATGAGTCAAAAGATTTTTAACTGCCTAGCTGAAATACAAAGGTACTTGTACCCAGTTTTTAATTAAGAATTGTTTAAAAGCAAGCTAATTCAATTATGTCCAACACTGGAAGCTCGCAAATAGACTTTCTAGAAATATAAAAAATTCAGATGGAAATTACAGGTGCAGTCAGCATTTTCAGATCAGGCAAAGCAGTGGTTCCTATGCAGATAGAACACACGCCTAAAACTGTTTTAAGACTCAAGAGCCAGCCCAGGTGTGCACTGTGCAAGCAACGTCCACGCCATTGAGCACTAAGATGACCTGCAAGTCAGCAGTTTTCCTGCCACTGTCCTTGAGATCGTCTGCAGTGTGCAACTAGCAAAGTCAGCCACAGGTACAGAGATGACAATACCGCAGTGCTGCATCACTATGACCAAGTTATAAGGTCATTGCTTCAGTAATCGGGCTCTCTAGCTTTGCTGACATGCGTAACCTAGGGCAGGCATGCTTAGTGAGCTTTTCCTCAGTTAGCCTCAGGCAAAAAAAAATTTAAAATAACTATGCTAAAAGATGGTCAAAACCAAGTAGAACAATTATGTATCATTTGTCAGCTTACCTCCAACAACACCTACACCAACGCTACTTCTTCTTGTGTTCATTGGAGCTACATGAAACCACTCGTTAGTCTTTAAGTTGTAAACTTCAACTGATGATAAACCTACAAAGACAATATAATTGTTATTTTCTTTATAAATCTAGGTGCAACATACTGTCTGCCTTCCAGAAAATTCTTCATATGTGAAAATTTGAATTATTTAAGGACTGTTAATTACTGTGCAGAAGGCACAACTGATGTCCTTTAGATGATCAATTACAGCCAACCCATTCTTGGAGTCTGAAAATGGACAAATTAATAAAAGCTTTTGTGGAACTTGGAAAAATTCTTCCCTGTTTTTTTTTTCTTTTTTTTACGTCACAATACTCTCTCCTACATATGCTTCAGTAATACTTATTAAGGAGAAAGATCATCTCTGCGCAAATAGTTTAATGCGCCTGTGAAGACAATGAACAGTGTATGTGCAAAGCCTTCCCACAAGTCAGAGAAAGCTGTTTGTAATCCTATTTACAGTACATGGAAATGCAGAGGTATATTTCATATGCAAACAGGACAAGAGAAACCAGTAATTTTTCTGGTCATATATTCCATTAGTTAAGGACCCTGACTCTAGAAGGAATACTCAAAGGGAACTTGTCAGAGATTCACTCGTCATTAAGCCTAAATGCTTAGATGGGAGCAACCAGCCCACTGTTCGAGTAGAAGGATGTAACCCTTGAAGCACATGCCACACCGTAAGATGCCAGGCTACCCTCAGGCTTGGTTTCATCCCAGCTGCCAGGAAAGAGACATTCAAATCTGATACAATTCCATCACGAGTAATCAAAGCTGGTCAGCAGTGTACAAAGGCAAAAATACCTGTACTCCCATCAAATCCTCCCACAGCATAAAGAAGGCCATTTAATACAGCTGCTCCCAGTGTGCTTCTCCTGTCTTGCATATTGGCAACGCTCGTCCACTGGTCCTTCACCGGATCATAGGAATCTACCGTGCGGACTCTCAAAGAACCGTTGAAACCTCCAACAGCATAAACCATGCCTCCCATGTAAACCATTCCTAAAGTAGGGAGGAAAGATGAGCGGGTTAGTCTCTTGGTCAGTTAACTGATTCCCTGCTGCCCGAAGCGTGCAGACACTCAGCACAATTTACAGTACTCACTACACCACCAGCCACGCTTTGTTCAGCTTAAGCACTAGAAGCTCTGACACTTTTTTGCTACTAATAGCTTACACTTCTGAATATGATGCTTGCTGAATTTCTTCTTGCTTAGATATCTCAGCCACTTTAAGAATCACATTTTCACATTTTTTTGTACTGATTGGTCACTTCATATTCTTCAACTCATTTAATAATAATAGGGTATTTTAATATTAAAAGTACTTATTGTTATTATAATGTAGTTATATTTAAATTTACTCTCTGTATCTATGGGAGGTAATAAAGCATTTTATTATAGAGATTACAAACTGAAGCGCAAATTAAGATCAAGTTATCAAACTTGTATTGTTCCAGATTAGCAAGTAATTTAAACTTTAAGGGTGATATCTGAAGTTGAGATTTAGTCCTTCTCAGACAAGTATCTTAAGTACTGTTGCAAAGAACATATGATGCTTTATACAGCTGCCTAAATTCTAAAATATTACTAACCACAACAAAAAATTAGGCAGCAGTTACCTGCTCTACATCTTCTGGAAGGCAATTCAGCCACCTGATGCCAGCGTTCCTCTTTAAAATCATAGCATTCAACACTGCGAATTGCCTTTGGTGCTTGTCCTCCAACTACCATCATCAACTAAAAGGGAAATAATAATATTTATTAATCATTTGCGTATGTGAGAGCACCTAAAAGATCAAAAAAAAAAAGTTAAAAAGTAAATCAAGCTTCTGTACAAGAAATAACTAAAGGACAGTTCTCCTAAATAAGAAAATCGAGTCTTGCGAACTAGGCAAAATCCATCTTTTTCAAAACACATGCAGTTTGTAATCATTGTGTCCAGAGGAAATAGCTACCTAAGACAGAAAAGCAAGAATCTAGGATCTAGGTAGAGCTCCCATGAGCGGGGCAGATCCTGCTGCATCTTCACATCCTACTCCGACCTCAGGTACGAGATTCAGCATCTATAATGTTCAGTGGAACTGTGAACATCCATCACAGAACAGCTTTTTCTGGTTCATTTGAGAGAAATGTGCTACATCTGTTGATTGGAACTCCTATTGCTTTATTGCAGTTGCCATAATAGTACTATGAGAAAACTATTTCACTGGAAAGAACATACGATCTGATGCTTGTTTGGTTTTCTTCTTATAAAATGAACAAAAGACTATAGCTAAAAAAATAATAAATGCCCCAACTCAGAAGCATCAGTCTTCATTGAGGGGGAGTTGTTTGTTTATTTGTTTTAAAGAAACAGGCTTACTTCCTCTGTAACACTAGGCTTACAATTGTGTATTTCTCAAATGCTGAAGAACTTACTGAAAAAAAATTATTTTTTTTGCTTTTTTGGGGGAGGGCTGCTGGGGAGGAGGTAGGTGGGTGACAAAATCTATACGACAAGCAGTATGAATTATAAAGTTCATAGTTTGTTGTATTTTTGTGATAATTAATTCTGATGTGAACATTTTTAATGGAATACCCCAAGTGACAGTCATGTTCTCATGAAATCTGTTAAAATACAGTTTGAAGAAACAAGTACATTTGAAAACTAAGGATCTTACTTTTGGAAGGCTAGCGGGTGTTCTCAATTTCGTTCGAGTGCTTTTCATCAATGCTCGTTGCTCAGTTGGCAGCAAGTGATACTTCATAGCTTCAATGAGGTAATCTTTACAAGCACTGCTGTTCTTAACCAAAATTTCTTCTTCAACTCTCTGTTTATTAATAGAAGTTTAACAAGGTCTGAGCGTGTTAAGAAAGTAAAAAACAAATAATCTGAAATGTAATAAAGCCTGTGTTATATTATACAAACACAGATTACTCTGATTTTTTAGACTGTAGTTCAGCTACAGTTAGACACAAACTTATGTGATGGCAATATGCAGTCACTGAAAAAAAGCAGTTGACCATCTTAATTAGTAAGTAGAAGAAGCAGTGTTAAGCAAGGTAAATCACTTCCTCACAATCAAGCACATTTCAAACACTTTTCAAATACAGAGAATACAGAACACTTTAAAAGAGGGAGGGGAGAAGAGAGTTTAACAAATGAATAAAGCACGCCACAGTAAATCATAACAGCAAAACAAATCGTAAAACCCCACAAAAGTAAAACAACAAAAAAACCCAAACCAACCCATGTGAAGTGGAGAAAATTCGTATCACAAAAACAGAATTTGCAAATTAAATGCCTAGCAATCTGCTACTACACCTACTAACCAATATTAATAGTGAACTGCTATTTTCAGTCTTAAATATTTGACCTGATACCTAAATATTCTATGTCATCTTATACGAATTAGAAAAAAAATTATCTCTGAACCAGGTAAAGAAATGTCTTCTTTATCACCAAGTCCTAACCGAGATTCAAGAAATTTAAAATTCACTTAATGAAGTGTTGTATTAAATATCATATTAAGAATGAAAGCTAACCTGATCTCATCTACTTACAGCATTCAGATGACTAGTGTAGCGTAACAAGTAGTCAGCCAAACAGATAAACTACTTGTATCCAATATTCTTTATGTGACAATACCTCTTCTGACTCTGTGTGTATATGTGCATGTGTAAGGGTGGCTGCCCATTTATTTTTACTAGCAGTAACACACTACATTACACTGCTGTTCAAGTCTGAAGTTATCCATCTGGCACTAAAAAAAAATAAACTGAAATGTTCACATGCAGAAGAATTAGCATTCCTTTTTGCTTACCTGAACTAAATACTCGCGGGAAAGCAAAGGCAACCGAACATGCTCCATGAGGCGTGCCATTAGCTCCTGCCTCACATCTTTGTCATGGTTTACCCACGCTATCACTGCTTCAAACACCTTCCAGGAAACAAACAAATGGGAGTCCCTTGACTTAGAAATTCAGCAGTATGAAAATATCAATGTGCCTCCAAACTCAGTTTTTGCTTATACTAAAATTCCTAACATGAGAAAAGACAACAGCAGTTTCAGCTTCCATTGTTTCCATATTTATCATATTTATTCTAAGGATGCAGAAGCAGTCTCTTTTTATATCGCTCCTCTACTGATGTTTCAAGGACAGCTGTACCACGGTGTCAAAACGCAGATGATAGTTCTATTGATACTGAAAATTCAATAAAATTAAGTAAACAGACAACACAGCAGCAGGGATATTACAATTGTCATACTTTTCCTTCTTTCTTGGAAAATTGACTTGCCACATCATCATTCAAATAGCTTATCATCACTAAGTCTAACTAGGATATGCGATCTCAAGCTTTGTTTCTCCTCTATGGCACAGCAGCTGATCATACACTAGACTATCAAAACCATAATTTTACTTCACAGAAGAAACATGTATCAAAATGAAAGTGGTAAAACCAAACCTTCAGGGTGTTATATAAGAACAGTAACATGATTTTGCTAATTGCAATTCAAGGAGATGGTTCTTAGATTCAAAGGTTCAAAAAGGTTTTAACATAAAACACTACTTAGCCATACAAATCAGTATTCAAGTATGCTTCTGAATACAATTTAGCCTTATTTGAACAGAGGTGTTAGTAAAACTATATACTCCTTGGAAAGAAGAAAACCAACATATTTTAAATTGACGGACTGAAAAATGAATACATCTATAACCTGAAAACCGTTAGAGGTTCAGAGAGACTCATTGGTCTCGCCGAAGATCAGGGTTTTGAAAATGGCTTTTAAAGAAAGACATCTAGCTAAGAGTGAGACAACACATATTTAAACCTAAGCTAGGTCATACCAAGCTACCTAGCCATCTCCTTCGCAACCCACATTTGGTCAGTTAGGCTAAACAGCCCACATACACATACAGAGTTATAATACGTTTGTGGGGTGCTGATGGTAAAGATAGTAGGCAGTATATACTTAGTCTTCAAATTACTATTTTGGAGTAATTTATCGCTTGGCAAACCAAACTCCTGCATATGTGACTCACAGCATGTGTTCTGCTTGAAGATAAGAAGGAATTTCCACTTAGTTTAGTTTCCATTTTCTCAAAGAACAAAGGGTTATGTGATTTAATGCAGTTTTAGGATTTGCAAGAGTTGAAATGAATTTTGACTGACAACACTTCAGGGAAAAATTCTTAATGTTTCTGGGAAAAATCTTTTAAATATGAGCACAATACATGCCTAATTTCACTGAGGAAACGAAGAACGCATCCAAAAAATTGTACAAGAGCAATCAGAGCAAGCTTCCTCTCTCACCTAAAGGATAAAAAGAATACTGGCATACATACAGGTGGTCTTACCTTCTCTTCCGAGGCAATTGTGAGTTTGTCACTGGATATAAGAGTGCACACTTGCTCTACACCAAGATTGAGGTATTCTTCACTAAGTACGACATCAGAAAAGTGCTGTTCTGTTTGGAGGAAAAGTACTACTCTGATATACGGTGCTAAGTGTATCACCACAACAAGCATTAAAGCAGCAGAGGAAAAGTAGAGAAAACAAGTCAATATGCATGCTATTTTGTCATATCTAGAAGCAATACCTTAACTTAAACCATTATACATAGGTTAAAGCTTGGGCTCACAAACAGTTTTTAAATTTAAAGATTCTTAGATTAATTGAAATAATAAAACACATTATACTAAAAGTGGCAATCACAGTGATCTAATCTTCTCAGCATTGCTTTGTCTCAGCACTTGTCCTCTACAATTATTTAAATCTCATTTTGCTAACTTTATATGCACAAATGCAGCAAACAGGATTCCAGAAAAAGAATACGCCCTCTAAGCTGTTGACAAACTTGTTCTAAACCTGCAGTTGAACATGAACAATGGCTAATTCATTAGAACTAACCAGAAGTTTTTCAGTCTAATGTAGGTCAAATCCAACAAGTCTAGATCCAATTGGATGTCTCAGAGCCCCTCTGACATTAAAAAAAAAATTACTTATCACAATCTCTACATGTAGATGTATAGTTTTTCCTCAGATTTTTATAATGCCTCAACTTAAAGTAAACAAACCTGACAAGATTCGGTGTTTTAAGTTGTAGAATCAGACATTTTCTTATAACATAGAACATGTATCTCTATCGAGTTACCATTGAAGTATTCAGTTGTCCTCTCCCTTCCTTAAAATTGCTATTTAAGTCATTCAGTTGCTTAAAAGCAGCTCAATCCAGTTAACTGTTATTCTTCCCCTCTTCAGCTAATCTTAACACAAGTTAGAAGGTATACTATAGAAGTGATACTGGGTATTTAAGAAATTCACTCAAAATCAGAATAAGTAAAAAAAAAAAAAAAAAAGTCATCGAACATACCCAAACCAAAGCATGTTTTTAAGCCTTTTCTATCTCTCTACTGCTGCTACTCTAGTTAAGACTCCATGCTTGACAAACTGTCTTAGGCTGTTAAAAAAGTTCAAGAATGCAGAATGCTTCCAGAACAGAAGTTTTTCAGGTCAACTTTGCAGGGTACAGCAGTGCGAGTTTTTTTTCGCGCTATAGTAAAGATCAGAGAGCATAAAAAGATAAATCTAACACAGTATAATTCTTGTCCTTTATCTAGTTCAGCACCCTGTTTCTTGAAGCAGGCAGCACAAATTGTTTCAGACAAAAGTCCAAGAATATATATGAAAAGTATGATGAAAAAATCCCAAATTTATCCCATAAAGGTCTCGTTATGACTATGAATTTTTAGAGATTGGTAGCCAGAAGGGTATTTTACCCTAACGACATTTTACTAAACAATGAGTTTAGTGAGATACATTCCAATTCTTTTGAATCCTGTTAAATTATTGACATTAATACTTTCTTACAGTGACAATTCCACAGTCTCATTGAACAAAAAGCCCCGCACCTCAATTTAACATCCAGTTTACCCTTAATCAGGTTTCAATTACTATCTCCATGCTGTACGGCTGAATACAGTAGTAGGAAAAATCTGTTCACTCAAAATTATTCATTACTCAATATTCCTTTTTAGCCTTCATCTTTATTTAAAAAGTAGATAGTCCTCATCTTTTTCAGTCCCTCATCCTATCAGCCTTTTCATTCACACAATCAACATTATTACAAGTCCCTCCAATTCTGCAGCATTCTCCTACGATGGACATGCAGTATTTTCTGCTCTATTTCAGGCAATGGGAGAGAAAAGATGAACAGAAATATTATTGATTTTCATAACACCACCACTACTTTTCCAATCTTTACAAATCTTTATGCCTGTTTGCTTTTCAGACTACAAATACGCAGTTTCTTAAGCTGAAGTAGAATTTTCTAAGGCACACTTACTGAAGTAAGTTTCATGCATTTTACTATTTGCACAAGTAGAAATTGAGAAATGTAATTTGGATAAATTAGTTTTAAGGTAAACTCCAGATTTCAAGTGCCAATGCCACAAAACAGCGTGCCTGTACGTAGCAGCTGAGTCAGGAAGCAAGCAGAAATGGGGAAGCAACACTCATCCAAAGCTCAAACAAATCTGAAGTTCAGAAACCCTGTTCATCCTCTCTTGAGAAAGCCAGTCCAACAGTGCATCACATCCAACAGGATACACTTTGTAAACTATAAATACTCAGTTGATTTTGTAGACTTTTATACAAAAGCCTTGTCTTTTGGAAGTTGATTTAGATTTATGATATGATCTGAATAGGAAGAGATCTGGCCTCTAAGCCAGAAAAGTACAACTTGAGAATTTTCAAAGAAATACAGTGAATGTGAGGCTGTCTCCTGTTTTCATGCTAAGAAGAGAATTGTAGAAGAAAATCTGAGAAAAACAGACAGTACTTGAACAAAAACTATTTTACTGGCTGTCAGCCTCTGTGCTTAAAACACAGAACAAGGCAAATGGCCAGGAAAAGAAGAGTGGAAAAAAAAGGAGAAATAAAAGTAAACCACTCGCTCAGTTGCTATGGGCTCATGTTCTCAAGCAATACCTGGAAACAAATCCTCATCTGAATGAATTACAGAAAAAAAGAGAAATAAGAAAGTAGATTGCTGTAAAATTTTAGTCTTAAAAAAAAGAGGTAAGGTGAAAGCACTTGTCTCTTAAGAACCAGATCTCTTGTTGTCAAGGAGACCATGCTAACTGATTGATAGATAACCTTTTGGCAGAAGCCAATTGAAAGTACAGCTGAATGAATTATTCAAAATAATTAGAAACGGAAAAGGAACAAGCATATGCAAAACCACCAATTAAATCTGCCAATGGCAATTTATCTAAAGCTGTTCAAATGCTGAAGACAGAAGATATTATATATAAAAATGTTTCTGAAATGTGAACTTTTTGCTTCATTTTATCAAGAAGGATATTAGCATCTCAGAAATATTATGATTTGCTAGTAAGAGCTCCAAAAATCCCACTTTGATTCCCTTTTTTCAATAATTAAGAGAGAAAAAAGGTATTGCGGGCGTGTATTTTTTTGCTTTCTGTGTTAGGATTTGTATTATCCGATGCTATTACTCACATCCTGAAAGCTTCGATAATCTGGAGATATTAACATCAAACATCATAAAACTTATGACATGATTAAACATTACAGGCATCTGTCCCCTGCAAAATCCCAAATTAGCTTGGTTTCTGTTGCATTAGGTAACATACTTCTTCATTAACATCTCCCAGATAAAGCAAACTGACAGAACTATCTGGTTGGAAGTTTTCACAAGAGAATAATTTTTTATTATTTTTTTTTTTTCCAAATTAGAATTTTCTGCAGAGCACACAACTTCGACAAATTTATCTTGGAATCCTGCCCCACTTCTTGCCAGTTCACCCAGACACTGAAGCCAGCTGGCTCCAGCATCAGGCAGCCTGGAAACAAGCTGGCTTAGGAGCTGCAGAGGCTCAGCTCCCAAATTCCCACTTCCTAAGCAAGGCGAATCTTTAGTATCAAACCTAAAATCTGCCTAAAAAAAAAAAAAAAATCCCTTCCATTTTAGGACATTCTAAAATATCTGTTCCAACCACATATGAAAAACACGTTTTCACAACCGAGACAGTTTCTATCTGAATAGCTGAAGACCTGTCCTTGTCTGCTCTGTAACAGTAGGATGGGACTTCAGCTTCAGGGACAAACTAGAAGGACAAAGAAGAAGTTCCTAACAACATGAGAGGGGGTAATAATAAAAATTTTGGAAATACAATAAAGCATGTCAGCACGGAGAGCAGAGAAGGATAACAGGAGCTGTAAATGTATCGCTCTTTTGGTATTTTTCATTATGAGTCTGGAGATGTGTATTGTACATGACCACAGAAGCAGGAAGTACTTGACCTATCTCTTCTATCCAAAGAGGGAGTCTTGCTGGATATTGACATTAACTTCATATTTTTCAATCACATAGGAAGGAAAGCTACATCTGCAATCTGCACAAGACATTTTATGCTATAAACATTTGTGGATTAATTCACAACTGCTATTTCACTCATTGAGATGCCTACAGTCAGACCTTTCCTGGCTTAATTGCCTTTCCTAAATGGAATAAAAAGTACAGAAGCAAAGGTCTGATGAAATTCCTTCACACTGAAAACCTTTTGGAGAATCATGGTAGTCAGAAATAAAAGCCTGTAACTCGTTTTCTCGTTTTTCTTTTATGAGAGTGGCTGTTGTCAGTGTTTTTGTATGACATTGCTGAAGACGGCCTAAATTTCTGTTCCATCAATAATAGGCTTCAGTCATTTGCTAACATTTTTATGAGGTGTTCCAGCAGCTGATGACACCTAGTATACATTTCCAGAAATCTTCTTAACTTTTTGTACACTTTCAGAAATCTCTCACAGATGCTCCCAAAGTGACATTCATATGTATGAAAAGCATGGCCAGAGCTTATCAGTATCAGAGGCTGCAGGAAGAAAAAGGGAAAAGGCCCTCCCACTCCCTAGATCTTTTCATGACAATAATCCAATTTACAGTAGTGTATAAAGCAAAATATCACAGTCAAAGATATCAAGTCTCATAAGTGTTTTTTGTCTGGTTTAGGCCAATTGTTTCTATTTCACAAAACAGCTGACAAAATTTTTAATAAATTAAATGCAGTACCTGCATCGTTTTGATGTGATAATGTTTTCTGAACCAATAACCTCTAGTTTTAGAACTATGCAGAGCAGGGGAGCTTGGAAAGATCTAAGCTTGACTACGTTCACTTACAAGACCAATGGCATTTTCTCAAGCAGATGAAACAAAAATACTTAGTGCGAGTAAGTTTTTACAGCTATTGCTTCAATTCACAATGCACACTGTGATTTTTTATTTTTTTTTGCTTGAGACAAAAGGTCTTTGCTAATGGCCTAACATAAGGCACTGGTCAAACAGGAATCCAGCCTTATTACAGAGGGATAGACACAAACTGTCAGTTAGAGAACCAGCAGAAGCTAATCATTGCAGAATCATTTTTTTTTTAAATTGGATTTACTTGTCAATTTTATGCTTAAATAACTCCTTTGAGAACACCTTGAAATTCATAGGAGCCAAGGTAACAGCAGCATAGCAACAGACGTTGCTACTGAGAATAGAATCACAAGAACGATTCTGCTAACTACTCCTTTCAATCTCATGCGTACAAATGTACATAAGAATAGTCTGCAGAAGACATGCATGCTTCCAGGTCTAGTCAGGGCTCAAAATTTTAGACTCAGAGCACCCGAATCAGGAATGCGGTATCCCACAGTTAAGTACAACGCAGCAATCCGTGCTTCTCAACACATGCTAAGGTTCCCTAAAAAGTTTCTTCAACATTTCCACAGCATGATGCTAAAAGCCAAGGAGGTTAGCTGTGTAAAACTGGCCCTCAGAAGACACCTCTTCCACAGGTAATCCAATGTTTCCAAACTCTGTCCTGGCCTCTGCAGTGAGTAGAATTACATTATTATTCCTTGGTTGTAACTAAGAAATATGTCAAGACTTAAGCAAGTGACACTGAGCAAGTGTCTCTCTAGCTGAAGATGGCATACACCCTCTTCATTAAGTGGCTCAACCAATCTACCTTCAGGTTGTACAGAGCGTTATGACAACGAGCAAATGCACCATATACTTGGGGAAAAAAATGTGAATTTTGTGAACATCCTCTAAGACCATGTAAGAGGTATCCCAGACTAAAACTGAGGACGGATGCCACATACTCTTGGTAGGAATCCTTACACAAGAAGCACGAGAGGCCTCAGCTGTACGTAGTCCCCGGCTGCGCAAGAGTGATAAGACGCAAAGTGGGACAACTTGCTGGAACATCACGAAACCAGGCTGCATCTCAGAAAGGTTAACTGCAACAGAAGCTCGCTCCAAGTGATCTGTATCAATCATAGACTATTTCCAGATCTCTCCATAGGCATCATAGATGCATATAGATAAGCCTCCTAAATTACAGAAATTGCACTCTCTGATGCAGTAGAACCAACCCCACCACAGGGTTACGAAGCTCCGATTTTAATGAAAGTTGGGTTTTTACTCCCACTGAAGGAAGTTCCAGAGTTTCACTTTTCTAACAACTTCTGATCTTCACCAGCATCCACTTGGTTTTAAGTTACCATTACCTATTAGCAGAAGTATCTCCCTGACTCTTTTTCCTACATATAGAAAAGCAAGTATAACACAATAAAGACTGGGAGACGTTAAACATCCAAATGCTTTTCATTTTCTCTAGCAGGCAAATATTTTCACTGCTTTTTCAATCTAATAATCCTCTTCTGTACTTATTCTAGTTTCTGGAGCCTTAATCCTAAAATGTCTGCTCCTGGGAGTTCAGCTGTCTGTGATACAAGATCGAATTCTGAAATGGCATAGCCACACATCTGTGGCTCAGGCTTTTGAAAAAAATTTTTGAATTGTAAGAGCGAGCCTTGACAAAGTACAAAGAGCTGTTTAAGATAAGAACGGGGAGGAAAAAGAAGCTATGATGGCTGAGATACAGGCTATAAGAGGCTTGAAATTTCAAGAGGAAAAACATTGACCTGAAAAGGTATAAAACTGTACAGAAGAAAACCAGGGAGTCAGAAACACAAATCCAGCAAGACTTATGATCAGCCCACTCCAAGGGGAAGTCAAGGACAGCCCTTCCTCTCTGGATGCTTTTACCAGGAGTACTAAGCATGCTGGTGCTCTATATGGATAAATAAAGAACTCCCCGCAAAAATCAAGTACAAAAAGGTAACCCATAAAGCGTGGTAGCAGGGACTGGGATGATTACAAGGCAAATGCTTGTGTAATCAGAGACCAGGTTAGAAAAGCTAAGGCCCTGACGGAGTCAAATCTGGCCAGTGACATTCAAAACAATAGAAAAGGATTTTACAGTTACATAAGAGGAAAAGAGAAATGAGAGAGAATGTGGGGCCTCTCCGGAAGGATACAGGTGAGCTGGTTACTGAGGACGTGGAGAAGGCTGAAATACTCAACAACTTTTTTGCCTCTGTCTTCACTGGCAAACACTTGAACCACACCACTCAATTCACAGCGGGTGTTGGCTGGGAATCAGAGAGTGAAGAACCATCCAGGTAGGAGCAGATCAGGTCTGGAACACCTAGAGAAGCTGAAGGTGCACAAGTCCATGGGACCTGGTGAGATACATCCACGGGTCCTGAAGGAACTGGCGGCTGAAGTTGCTAGGCCACTGGCCATCACATTTGAGAGGTCCTGGCAGTCTGGTGAGGTTCCCATAGATTGGAAAAGGGTGAACGTAACCCCCATCTTTAAAAAGGGGACCAAGGACAACCTGGGGAACAACAGACCAGTGAGCCTTAGCTCTGTGCCAGGTAAAATCATGGAACAGATTCTCCTGGCAGCGGTACTAAGCCACATAAAAAACAATCAAGTGGTTGGTGACAGACAGCATGGCTTCACCAGGGGCAATTTGTGCCTGACTAACTTAGTGGCCTTCTACAAC